AAAGGAGTATTGACAAAAGTTGTCGCAAGAACGAAAGCAGTTTCACTGCGTGTTTGACATCCTAACACTACTGAACAATAAAGAGGTGTGAATATTTTTAGGCACGTTGTCGAAACAAATGAATAGGATTAGAAACAATGTACCAGCTGGTTGAAACAAAGTCAGTCACGGTCTTGTTGAATTGGGGGTGCGGTTAGTAATAGGTACTTTTCATGTTTTCAATTTTTGTTGAGAACTCTTTAACACTGAAGTCGAAATCAGGGGTGCGGTTACTATTAGGTATGCGGTTTATAATAGGATTTTAACGGTAGAGTGAAATTTTGTTTCTTTTTTTCCTTTTTTTCTTACCCAGACGGTTAAGTGCTCACGAACCTGCTTCAATACCGTAAATGTTTAATTTCATCCTCTGCTTTGCAGTAGACATAAATCAGTATAAAGCAATTAAACTTGTGAACAAATGTATGTCTAACCTTTTCATCATCAAACTTTCTCACCCAAATTTATCTACAATTTGTCTAATATTCTTCAATATTTCTAAAAATAAATCCTAATTTTGGAGCCAACAGAAAAAATTTGAGTCAATTTTTAAGTTTTCACTAAAAAAATTTGGCTATTTTTATCCCAATCTTCTGAAGGAAAGTGTAGATTATAGATAGGAGTATTTTGTGAATTTGAGATGAAACAAAAGAACTGATGGTGAAAAGGTTAAAGAAAATTGGTAAAGATATTTATACTCATAAACCCATTAAGGTAAGCGAGACTATTATTTGTGTTGAAAATTACGATTTTCACATTTATTTATTAATTGATGAAATGCACCATAAACTTTCATATGATAAAGTCAATATAACATAGAATGTCATGTAAGTTGGTTAAAATATAGATTTTCTGAAGGGAAGCAAGGCAGCCTCAGTAGTGTTTTCCAGAATCAACAACACAGGTTTAATCTGTGTGCCTATAAGTTTCAAAGATAAACTCAAGACAAAGCAATGTTAGGATGTGTTATCAGTAGCTATCTGACACACAATGAGTGTTTCCAAACATTTGAGTGGTTTGTCTCCGCCCCTGTTTGTTTCACAGATTAGTCATTTGCATATGAATGTGTCAGACACAAGGTCACACAGCCACTGAAAAAAAAATCATTGATTTTGGTGTTTTCATATGCCGAATTTATCCAATTATAGCTATCCCATTCCTTTATTTTTTTGGTTTCCAATAGCCTTACACATTTGGATGTCCCTACACATGGTAAAACAGACCTTGATGGGAAAACAAATTGATTGTGCCGATAAACAAGCTTGAAAATCTTTGCTGTTACTTCATGGACGTTTTCTAGGAGTTTATGTTTTTCAAAATACAAGGTCTTTAACAAAAAATAACGTATACTTATTGTCGTCGGATTAACACCAAATTTTCACAGCTTTAAGGTGACAATGAGAGG